CGCTCAAATCCAGTGATCAAAATATCCAGGGTGAAGAGAAAACTCTCACTTGTCGGGAGAAACAATCCGCGAAGCGCTGCTAGCTACGGTTCCTGAGATAAATCACTCGTAAGTTGAGCCGCGATCGCGGCAATTTCAAAAGCGTGCAGTGCGACTTTGGTATTGAGAATTTTGAGACTTTTCGTCACGCTGGTTTACTCGAATTTGCACGGGTTTCACTGTTGATATTGTCGAGAGTACACAGCGAAAAAATTGGAACTCCACGATCGAGCAAAATGAAATATCTGGAGCGGGACGCAATTGGACGCATTTGGGGCATTTTTCGTACTGTCGCTGCGATCTAGCGCTGGATAGACGGTGTGCCGGCGATCATGATCGACCTCATTCTCTTCGTCTCGCGGAGACCTTTCCAGGAAGCCCTAGATTGTGAGGATTGAGTGAGTAGAACTGAAGCTATGATCCAAGGAACACGAAAAAATGCAGAATTTTGAAATTTCCCTGTGGCTCTTAAAGGGTTAAGTTTGAACCATCCAAGTCGCAGCTCCTACGAATCTCCTGCCATCGACAGCAGCCTTGGTCTGTCCCCGCAATACACTTTGGAGGGGAGGTCATCCCACAACAGCCACACCTCAAGCTCCTCGGAGTTATGGTTGACTCCAAGCTATCCTTTTCCGCCCATCTCCGGTCAGTTGCTGCCAGGGCAAACTCACGTCTTGGCCTCCTACGTAGAGCTGCTCGTGTTCTGGACTGCCGTGGCATGCTGGCCGTGTATCACGGCTTCGTCCGGCCCCTGCTCGAGTACGCTCCCCTTGTCTGGATGGGAGCTGCTCCCACTAACCTTGAACACCTTAACAGAGTGCAGAGGCGTGCCCTCCACATCCTGGGACCCAACATCTTGCTACAGAGCCTAGAGGCCCGACGGACAGTGGCGGCACTGACTTTCGTCTACAAGCTGCTGGGTCAACCAGGTCCTCCTCTGCTGAGATCCATGGTCCTCCCTCTCGTCGTCCACCATGCCGCACCTGTAACCCGGAGACAATGCCAACAGTCTGCTTCACACCCCTTCCAACTGGAAAATGTTCTCCCTCCAGGCGCTCCTAACTACCTAAGACGCGCCTTTCCATACAACATCATCAACACCTGGAATGCACAGCCATCCTACCTCTTCACCAAACCACCATCTCCTAAGGGCCTACAATCCTTCAAAGCGAACGTCCACTACCATCTTCGCCGAAGCCAGTGGCTTTGGGCCACAGACTCCCTCTAACAGTTCAGAACTATTTCCATCCTGAAGCTCCCCCCCCCCCCAAGCATTGCATGATGTTCACTGCATCTGAACTGCCTTTGAATCTATTTTTCTCTCTTCTTGTTCTCTCTCCACCCCCACCCCCCACCCCCACCCCCCCCCCCCTCTCTCTCTCTCTCTCTCACTCACTCTCACTCACTGTCTCTCTCTCTTTCTCTCTCTCTCTCTCTCTCTCTCTCTCTCTCTCTCTCTCTCTCTCTCTCTCTCTCTCTCTCTCTCTCTCTCTCTCTCTCTCTCTCTCTCTCTCTCTCTCTCTCTCTCTCTTTCTCCACCCCCCCCCCCCTCTCTCTCTCTCTTTCTTTCTCCTCATCCATTCTACCTCACCTTCTCTTGTCTTTATCGCACTAAATCACCCCCCTCTTTTAGGCTATGGTGCGCAAGCTCACGTTAACGCCGAGACCATAGGTCGGTGTTGTGGGCTTGCCTCACCAGCACAGGCTTGCTTTGCAGCCCCTACTCTCCCTGCTGTTTTGTCATTGTATACTCTGTTGTCTTCTCCCCTTCTGACGAGTAGGTTGTGTACTTAGTAAAAAAATAAAAAAATAAAAAAATTGTCATGTTGCGTGGTGATGTCTGCGGCGTCCATACTTTTCATAGCTATTATTAAACTTTGATCTCCACATAGATTATTATGTAAAAATAGAAGAGTGTCCATTTCTCCATACCTTGAGTTCTGACGGTAAATGGTAAAATTCCTGTTTTGCAGCTTGTCTGCTGGGATTCCTTGAATGGGGCTCTCTTTTAAAAGTATTCTCAACAGCAGCAGAGCATACATTTTTGGTCCGGCTTCATTCTTCTTTATTGGCTATGTTCACTAGGTCTGTGTGTGTGTGTCTGTCTGTTTGTGTCTGTCTGTTTGTGGGCACATGTGTCTGTCTGTGTGTGTTTGTATGTGTGTACATGTGTGTGTGTGTGTGTGTGTGTGCATGTGCGTGTATGTGCATGTGTGCATGCATGTGTGTGCGTGCATGCGTGTACGGATGTGTGGATGTGTGCGCGTCCTGTTTCTTATCAACATTCGTGCTTGCTAATGCTAACTGACATGGCGATGGACAATGTGGACAGGGGCACAACAAGACGCACACTCATGCAGGAAATGGTGTACAGTGATCCGGAGGTGGGTGGCAGTGGGATAGTCTTCACACCGTCTCGGCCTTCACCCGAAACCAACGCAATCACCGACAATTTTTTGAGAAATTGTCCTCTGCCAGAAATTCCACCTGCCGCACCTATTGCTTGCCCAAGAGACATTCCGTCACCAGTCCTTGCTGAATGGCCACACAACTCCAATGAAGCGAAAATGGCGGAGCGGCAGAGAAAGAACGTCTTTCCCATCGAACCAGTCAGCTTCGCTCACATGTCAACCTGCTGGAAAACATCTTTCGGACGAAGTAAGAAATATCTCCGGTCATTCTGTGATGTGTGTCTTTGTTGTGCAGTCAACAGGCATTTCGATTATAGTGTATGTTATGTATTAGGTAATGTAGGGGGTTTGTAGCTATATGGTTTTGTGTTTGCTGTGTGTGATTTTGTAGCACGTTGACAGTGCTTATCATAACATGTCAGGGAATAATTTTCTTTTAATTTCTTGCATAGCAATTTTGCCATGCAAAATCAAACTTGAATAGCGATTCAAAAATGTTGGGTAGCAATTTTCTTCAACACCTGACAACATTGCCCTTCCCCAGAGCTGATCAGAGTGCAAACTCGGACAACAAGCACACAGTGACACCTTAGTTGCAAACCTAACTAATTGGTGCGATGATGCATAGCTCAGCACTTTCGAAGTTTCGTGCATCTTTTTCATCCTTCAGATACACACCTGGCATACACACTGTGCATCATAGGGTACAGTGAAAAACCCAACATATATCGCAGTTTTCTGCGACACGTTTCTGAAGTTTCTTAGCACCTCAGACGAATTGAGTAGCAAACTGCGATGCAATACCGATTAAATTATTCCCTGCATGTCTAGTTGATAACTAGGACCCTAGCCATAGCACAGGCAGTTCTGTTGTTCTTGTCATTGTTCATACAACTCTTTTTGTTTTTATCTTGCTAGTTTGCTGCTGCATCCAAGCCCCTGTAGACGCTGTGCAGCGGTGTGTGTTCATTAGTAGTAAGTAGAACAAGCAGTTGTGTTGGTGTCCATGTCATTCTAATTGCCATTGGTTGTACAGCAAAGCAGAGCATTCTACACGCTATCACGGAGGCATTTCAAGAAAGCCCAACTGTCGCGAATGAAATTGTGGAGCAACTCGAACCAGCGTATGTGCTTGAAAATGGCGCAGTGGCCGGTAAGAGCATACAGGCAAGACACACATGATTGCAATCTGCACATGTCTCTCAGTCTCATTCTCCGTTTTCTCTCCTCTCTCTCTCTCTCTCTCTCTCTCTTTCCCTGCATCCCTCCCTCCCTCCCTCTCCCTCTCTTTCTCTCTCTTTCTCTCTCTCTCTCTCTCTCTCTCTCTCTCTCTCTCTCTCTCTCTCTCTCTCTCTCTCTCTCTCTCTCTCTCTCTCTCTTTCTCTCTCTCTCTCTTTCTCTCTTCTCTCTCACTCTCACTCTCTCACTTTCTCTTGCACTTGATTCCATGTTACATGGTTTCAGTGATGTTGGTTTATCACACCAGAATTTTTATTTATTCTGCCACACACACACACACACACACACACACACACACACACACACACACACACACACACACACACACACACACACACACAGATGCGATCGGATTAGGTCGTCGGTGCACAGCATATGCTGTCCGTGAAGGTGACGAGAAGATAGTTGCTGCTCTCAAGTGTGTCAGCTGTAAGTCTACCTGAACCTGTGCATATATGCCAAACGTCCTAGATTGCCCGGGACAGTCCCGGGAATGGCTTGTCTGTCCCGGGGTCCCGGGAGGTTCTGCGAAAGTCCCGGGATCGAAACGGGACTGTTGAAGCCGATGTTTTTTTCATTTTTATTACGATTTTCAGGTATCCTCCATCTAGAGTCGGCCGTGTGCTCGCACTTGTACTTGCGGCACGTAGAATCTAGTACTAGGCAAAGCTCGAAGCGCGGCGAGTGCGGACTGGATCGATCGCGTACAGTTTGTAGTACTCGAACGATCTGGTGCAACATGCTGCATGCACTGAATGCGCTGCACTGGCCCACACACGTGCCTTGCGCAGGGTAGATCTACGAGGCCTGGGCCTAGCTGGGTTGGATGATCATGATGATCATGACATGGGTAACACTGCACTTGCACCGGACTTGCAACGCTGTTTTTTTGTTTGTTTTTTTTTGTATTTTCACTAATAGGTGAAGTGAAAAATTAATATCTCTGATAATGATGGATGCACAAAAATGGTGTCTAGGGAAAACGGTCCAAATCTAGGGAATTGAGGCAGGTTGTCCAGGGGACTCGAGACTCCAGGTTGGCATGTACGCCTGTCTTCAGCAAACACACGATAGTTCTCGGCTGACTCAGTCTCTGAAGACATGTGGTCACTGTTCACTTACTGACATGTGTGTTGATGTGTGTTATGAGATCTAGGGTGATTGCTATCTCAACACAGCCAGTCACACGGGCATAGCTTACACAACTGTGGTTTGGTGATCAGACCTGAGAAGGTCATTTTTTTCCTTGGTCGGGAGATCTCCGTCCAAGTAGTACCTACGCCAGCCAATTGCCGACTTAACTGGCTACATATGAAACCACCTTTCCTTCCTTTCTCCACGAGACTCCCTTTTATAGGCATCCATTTGCCTCTGGAGAATCCTTGAAAATATGTAATATCAATATGACGTAGTCAAGTGGTTTGCTTCACTGTCCGAAGAGTGCTCAATACCCATGTCGGGCAAAGCCGTGTACACAAGAGAGAGATTGGAAGATTGAAAGTTGCCTGATGGTCGTAGTAATACGTGAAACTCAGAGTTGTAACAAAGCTTCCAATCTCTCTCTTGTGTAATATCAATATGAGCTATGCGTCTGAGTCATGTAGAATAGTTGCTGAATAACACAACAATCATGTGCTTCAGTAGTATAAAACTGGACTTGTACAGTCTCTCCATAGGTGAAATTGTCGGGCCCCTACCAAATAAGTGTCTTCAAAATTGTCTCTGTAAACACATTTGTACTTCATTCAATGGGTTGCTGGGGTGCAAAAGTGCTCTTTGATCTTTAGAATTCACAACCCTCACTGAGCAGCCTCAGCTACTTTCCTGCATGTTGCTGGTACAAAGATTGTTGCTTCTTATGAACACGGCTGCTTATCCAGAAGATGGCCTGCTTTGATCAGCTGTTTTTTTCCTCCGTGTGTCTGTACCTGCATGTAAAGAGCTGTGCAATGTCTTGTGTTGATGTCTCCAGTGGACAAATTGCACTATGCCCAGTACCACATGTCACTGATTGGCGAGGCTTTTGTGCTTAGATCGGCTGCCTGTCACGAAAACATCTTGAAGCATGTTGGTGTCTGTTGGGGTGGAGCAACAAGTAAGAAAGTCCATTGTTGTTCTCATATTCTGCTTATTGGCATAACAACTTTGGGTCGAGTATGAACGGTTACCAGCTGCGCATTCGAGTATATATTTCAGATTTTTCATATACGATGGCATGGTGTCAATATATCGTACATGTAATGTTGCTGATTGCATCATTAGAGGACACTATCTATGTACATATTTTGGGTGCGCACCGTGATTCTGCATTTTTCTTGACTGCTTTCCTTCTGTAGTGATACCACATGTTTTGGTCGAGTACTGTGGAAATGGTAGCTTGCTGGAGTTACTCCTTGGGCGCAGGGCTGTGCAGAAAAAGGCAGATGTCAGGTTTGGTAATCGCAAAGATGATGAGGACGCTGTCGGCTATGCTATTATTGATGAGACGAATGCCATGATAAAGCGAAGCCAGCAAGAAGTACTGATGCCAGACCAGATGCTGGACCTGGCTCTGCAATTGGCTCGTGGGATGCAGGCACTAGCTAAGCAGAAGGTAGGGATGTTATCAAGGTTCTAGCCAGGAATAAATAGTGGGGGGGGGGGGGGAGCTATGCACTGGTCTATACACTTCGATGCATAGCATAGCATAGCAAATGTGTGCATGCTAACACATGCATAGTGAATCAGGTCATACATAAATCTCGTGTTAACACGTACTTATCAAAAAAAATTCACGGTTCGCGTCAGACTCGGTCTCTGTATATAGAGGCCGAGTTTTCCGCATCCGTAGGAATGCCACCACCCTTCAAGGATCAAGGCGCAGCAGATGCAGCTCCTAAAGCGGTGGGAGGTGAGTAGATCAGCTCACCAGCATGTGGTCAAAGACCGAAAATCCCATTCACTGCATCCATGTTTTCCTCGTGCCAGGCCACGAGTTCCCAATTAACTGTGGGTCGCAGCACGGCTGGAAAAAAATCCTTCCGCTTCCAAGCAGGACTTGAACCTGGTACCCTCTGTTTCTCAATCATGGTCTTAGACCATCCCACTATGCCTGTACTTATCAAGCAAAGGTTTATTGCTACATCACACCTTTTCACCTGGTCCCAAGACAACAGCGTCCAACTTAGAATGTGCCGTACGTGAACATTGCCTCTCCATATCTGTACTTGGGGCTGCAGTAGTAATATCTGCTGTGAGACAACTGGGGGGAGGGGGGGGGGGGAGAAATCACGGTGAATTATTTTAAAGCGACATCCAGAAAACCTCTTATGTCAAATATCCTCTCAAAATTCAAACAATATCGTTGCCACATTTTCCTTCTCCTTCTGTGAACTTTCCAGATCCAGCACGGGCGTCTTACCGCGTCCACTACATTTGTGACGTCAAACCTGACCGTTAAAGTTGCCGGCATGTCGGTGACGGGAATGGCCTCCAGACAAGAACTTGATGAGTGGGTAAGACCCTGTTCTAGTGGTGATCACGGCTCTACAACCCATTCATTCCTTGATGCTTCTTGAATAACCACACCAACATTGACTTGACTCTACAAGCCATTCATTCCTTGCTGCCAACCGCTTTAATTAATGCGCTTGCCGAATCCCTGCGCAATATTGACATCCCCAATTCATTTCACCATTTGTGTATGTTTGTGTATGTGTGTGTTTAAAAAAATGAAAAAAACCAAAAAGTAGGGATTCACTGACCAGAGAAAGCCACTTCATAGCTGTGTGGTGTAGACCAGGCTGAATAGTGGCGGGCAATTCTTCAGCCCTGCAAGCTGTTGAATGGTGCAATCCCAGCACAAGCTTGTATGGCTCCTTGCTGTGGCATCGCTATCATTTCCTCCGGCGATGGGCGTCAAATGGTCCAAATGGTGTGTGTGTGTTTGTGTGTGTGTGTGTGTGTGTGTCTTTTCACCGCCGACGTGGGCACATAGCCCTCGTCGGCGGTGGAAAGACTGCGCTGTAAAGGACCTCCGCTCACGAGACCTTGAAGCAGACTGGTACAGAGTGGCCTGTGACTCAAACCCAGACTGGAGGTTGGCTTACACCTCGGACGCCCCGGATCCCCTCGTACCGGCACCGGTGACTTGTTTCACATGCGCCCGGCACTTCGCACGTCAGGGTGACCTCGCTAGGCACAAGTGCACGGCTGAACGGCAGAAGCCGGTTTCGGAGCAGAGAGGTGCATGTCAGTGCCCTCTGTGTCATCGTTGGTTCCGGAGCCGCGGAGGCTTGGCTGTGCATCGTTGCTCCGCTTCTACCTCGTGCCCAGTACCGACCGAACCAGCTGCTGTTGTCGCCGGTGACACTACCGCTTGGAGGTGCTGCAATGCTCACTGTGGCACCTGCAATCGTTGTTTCCGCTCAACCCAGGGATGCAACCGCTATCGCTGTTCAGCGCACTGCCACCGACCAACGACCAGAGAACGGGACAAGTTCCCGCATATGTGTATCTGCTCTCGCCGGTTCCGACTAGTCTCGCATCTGGAGCGCCATCGGGTGGAGTGCTCTTTCTCTCTCTCTGCTGCCCCTCCGGGGCCCACGTGACCCTAGTGGTAGTGGCTCTATAGGACAGGACAGGACAGGTGTGTGAGTGTGTGTGTGTGTGTGTCTGTGTCTGTGTGTGTGTGTGTGTGTGTGTGTGTGTGTGTGTGTGTGTGTGTGTGTGTGTGTGTGTGTGTGTGTGTGTGTGCGTGTGTGTGTGCATGTATGCGTGCATGCTTGTCTGTGCATTTGTGTGTATTCTTATGTGTGTGTGTGTGTGTGTGTGTGTGTGTGTGTGTGTGTGTGTGTGTGTGTGTGTGTGTGTGTGTATGTGTGTGTGAATTTTGCAGATGTTCCCATGGGCAGCAGTTGAAATCCTGGAAGCAACCTCAAATCCTTCTCTGGAGGATGATGTGTAAGTGATGGATACATTAGTGATCAGAGAAATGTAGCCAGTGTCCTTTTGAAGTTGAACATGGACTGAACTGAAGCTATTCAGTTACACGACAGGTTGTGCTGTTCTGTGTAATGACTGACTACACTCCACACTTCAGTTCTTTTGTACCCGAGTTTATCTAGAGTATACAATTCTTTGTGTGCATGTGTGTGTGTGTACATGCTCAATCTGCGGACAGAACTATGTTGTCCCTTGTGGATTCGTCAGTGCAGCACAGAGAAAATGAGGCCGATCATAATAGCAACAAAAATAAAATAAAATTGTACCACGCCCGAACATACTTTTCCAGAATGTTATAACTGACCATTGAAGTCAGTGAGCTGTGACTGTACATTGTGTGGGCATATGTGCATGTGTCAGCGCATGTGTGCATGAATTGTGGGTATGAGTGTATGTGTGTGTCTGTCTGTCTGTCTGTCTGTCTGTCTGTCTGTCTGTCTGTCTGTCTGTCTGTCTGTTTGTGGGTATGAGTGTATGTGTGTGTCTGTCTGTCTGTCTGTCTGTCTGTCTGTCTGTCTGTCTGTCTGTCTGTATGTATGCGTGTCTGTGTTGTTCACTGTGGTCCAATCGGAAGAGCACGTAAACAAATAAACTGAACAATTATAATAAAATATAATATTACCAATGAAACTCTTCACTTTAAAAGTACGTGCCAGTGACTCACTTACTACGGTTTTCCGATTTCTTCCCTTGTTTCTTCAGATGGTCATACGGTGTTGTTGTCAGTGAGATAATGACCTTAGGTAAGACCCCTAAGCACTAGATTGTCAACAGCAGTCTCCCATTGAACCATACCAGGTTTCTAGACAGGAACCAAATGTTAGGGGGGGGGGGGGCAGGGGTACGGGAAACAGCAAATGTATCCACTGTTTGTTCAGGGTAGGAGAGAGGGGGGGGAGTTGCTCCACCCCCCCCCCCCCCTAACGCCATTTTGGGTAGAACCCTGCATTCACACCGCTTGAATAGATGCTTCACGGGATCTAACTGATTCTTCTACAGTTTAGACCAAGGATATTTTAATCCGTGAGTCGAAAGCAGCACGAAGGCTCATGCAGCCCCTGCAGCCCTCAGATTTGTGTTTGCACCGTGCATGATGTCATTGAAATGTTAACGCGGCTCTTCTTTTGACTCTTGGGTTGGGTTTCTTTGGCCACGAGTGTACAAATGCAGGGTTCACAGCAACCATGCCAACACCTCGATTACGTGGGAGGACATCTTGGATCTGATCACCATAGAGACGAACTCGCGTGACCGCTAAGCGCAGGCGTAGAACGCAGTCGCGCAAGGAGATTTTGACTTGCTTGGGCTTAGTTGCTGTGACAAGAACTGAGTCGTGCATGGTGAAGGAGATGGCCGGAGACTGCCTCACCATCTCTATTTCATTTCGGTAGTTCTTGTTTCCTTCCAAGTGGATTATTTCGCGAGCAGTGTTGGCCTTATCGGCCGAAGGCTTCATTCAGACTGTCCGCACACGGAGTCCTGCAAAAAGTAGCCCCTATTGGCCATCAAACCGTATCGATTAAAACAAAAAGCTCTCGGACAAATCCTTACAATGGGTATTGAGAGTATGTTCCTAGAGTTTCAGAGGCCTAGGCAAAAGCATTGGTACAAATGAATATTTTTAATGCTCCCCACTTTCAAGTTTTCAGAGATATCTGCCTGATCGCATGTACACGATTCTGGCATGCTGGCTGGCTCGTGTGACAGCGGCCTGTCCAAAATGACGCCCACGCTTTTGTGTGATGCTGTGAGCCCTGAAATGTAGCAGGTCATGAGCTGTTGGTTGTCATAAGTACGTTTCTTGTTCACGATAAGAGAGGTGTCCCTTTTCAACTTTGAATGGGCTGAACGCAAAAAAAAAACCAAATCAAATACCTTGCCAACTGTGCAAGGCAGGCACGGAATCGGTTCGAAACACTGATCCTGAAATGACAGATAACTGATAGAGTCTAGCCTCGAAGCACTTTGGCGAGCAGCAATACCAACCACGGTCAATTTGAGATTATGCGGCTGGGCTCAAAAGGTTTGGATCTTCAACATTAACATTACATTTTTATTCTGGTGTCTCAAGCATTTTGACAGATCTCTCTAACCCCTCACCCTATCCCCTGACTACTAGGTACTGCACCTACCACTGACCTATTTCCTACCGTAGTGTAATGCCTGTTGTGAAATTTGTGTATAAATTGTACATAGCATGCATGCTTAGTGCTACTCTGATTGCCATGCAGTATAGATGCTCGTACAAGTATGTGTCAGTGTGCGCGTGCGTGTGTGTGTGTGTAAATGTGTTTGTACAATCATGTAAATGGTACATGCCTGTCACTATCTCCTTGCCTCTTCAGGTGATCGTCCCTATCAGGATGTTGGTACGCGAACTGATCTCATTCACCACCTCGCCTCTGGCCATCATATCGAGAAACCGGAAAGGATGACGCAGTTTGTGTAAGTCCTGCGCCTTCGCGGCCTTTGCTCCACGTCAAATCATAATCATTGTAACTCATCGTCTTTAGTTGCACCCAACACTTTGTCAAACATTTCATTGGGTGGTTTCAGATCTTCTCCACCTGATACAGTACTGGATACATGTCCTGGTTGATGTATGATCCGATGCAGGTATACCTTGATCAAAGACTGCTGGATGCGCCACCGGCAGGATCGCCCAAACTTTGACGCTATTGTGAACTTCCTTTTCAACGTCCTAAATGCACCAGTAAGTGCTCTGAGTATCACATTCCCCACTGTTAGAGTACAATTGCAATGTTAGTTGGGTACTACAGGTGAAACCGGATCCAACAAGAATATGAAGATGAAAAAGTGTTTTAACTCCGAGTTTCACGCACGAAGCGATCATCAGGAAACGGTAAAACCTGATCAAGGAATTTTCCGATTAAAAATGTATACAAGCCAACGCAGTCACCAAAATCTGAAACTAGAATTAGACGTATATAAACTTACTAACTTTGGTTTGAATTGGACAAATTCCCCGATATTGGGCATCCTGAAAAGGTCTTGACGAGACAAACGCAATGAGCCCACACCCGGCCCCACAGGTTGCACTGGTCCAGCGCTGCAAGCCAAGGAACTCGCACCAGCGGTGTAAACCAGGGAACGCTCACACTTGAGATCGATTTCCATCCACTATTTCAATCCTCTTGCTCGTATTGATCTCGATTGTTTCGTAGAGACTCCCGGGAATATACTTTCTAATTTGAATTGTTGTCGCCTTGCCAACCAGTGACGTAAACAAGGAAACTTTGAGCCGTCGACCTGCGCGTCGCGCTCTGAACGCACATTTCCCGTGTCCAAAATCACGTGTGCTGTAACTCAGGAACCCCTCTTCCTATCGCATTGGAAATTGTTTGAGGCGACAGCTGAGAGTCTTCTCGTCGACCTACATATCTCTCCGAAAGACCGAGATTTAACCAAGTTACGATAGTTTCAAAATTCACACCCCAACGATTCCATTGGATCGATGCTTGTATGTACGGACATTAAAGGGTTAACATGTGCAATGTTTAAGTCTGTCGCTCTGGTTTCAACTGCCACCAGCGTTCATAACTCTTCTTGTGTGTTTGTGTGTATGCGTGACTGTGTGTGTATATGCTTATGTGTGTTGTTGTTTATGTTGTTGCTGGTGGTGTTTCTGCTGTTGCTGTTGTTGTCGTTGCTTTTGTCATTGCTGTTGTCGTTGCCGTTGTCGTTGTTGATGCTGTTGTTTCATCATGCAGTATATCAGTGTATAAGAAGTACCAGCCAGTCAGCCGATTTGTCTCTTCGTCCAAATGCAACGACTCACGGTATATTTCCAGCGTCTCACTTGCTGCATTTTCAAATGTGTTGTAGCTGTTCAGAAACAGTTTATGGCAGCATCTATGCGAGTTTTTTGAAATCCTCGATTATTCTACAAGGTTGAAGCTGCATATGTTTTGTTGGTGTTTTTCTGTACTTTAGACTAAGCATAGAAATGATTGTGTGTGTGTGTGTGTGTGTGTGTGTATGTGTGTGTGTGTGTGTCCTCCATGGTCAAACGGAGGCTATTTCCCGATGCCTCGCTTGAATTTCGACGGGCTTCCTGATTCTTGGTCAGCATGTATTGTTGAAATAGCGGTATACTTTCCTACAAAAGGATGATATTCCTCACACCTTTCTCAGTTTCTGACTACAAGATTCCTAATGTTAATACTTTTTCCGGTTCTATATGGCCCACTTTGAGCTTGATGAAATTGATTTCTGTGTTAGTCTCCTTGACCAAAAGCCCAATGTGGGAGCTGCTGCTATTCTTTGCGCCCTGAAATCTTGATGAATTCCGTATGTGCATACTGGACTTAATCCTTCACAATACGCCGAAGTGCAATGTTACTAAATCTCATATACTATTGACTTGACTATGTACTCAGGTCTATCCTCCTTTTCAAATGTTTCACTTTTCCATTTCCAAGATTGTCACGTTCCATATAATAATTGCAATTCCAATAAACTAAGTGGAGGAAACTTCCGTGTTGCTACTTGTAGCATTGACTGTCCACTTTCGTTTAGTACCATGTCCAGTGGTGATTTCTGCATCCGTGGTGATCATGCTCATGCACAAAACTGGAGTCTCTGACGAACTCGTGTGTATGCACAGTACCGTTGTAGAATTGCAATCACAGTCTCAGACCATCACATTATGCCAGCCTGCCAATGAAAGAGTGGAAATTCTGTAAATCCAGGAATAATTGAACTCGCAATACAGTGTATATCATACAGCCATTCTAACATAAACTTAACTCGCATGGGGAGTAGGCATATGCGGATAATGCCGGCAGAAATATTGGCAGAATTCGGTACTTTTTCTGGTAAGTTTCATGCATGTTTGGTATGTGGATAAAGAAATGGAGCAGAATTCGAGAAATTGCCCGCCATACGGTTTGTATGGTTCTGCCAAATTCACTGCTTTTAGAGCAGAATCTGCCACCTTTTCGAGCATTATCCGCCACGCGTCAATGCCTAATGGGGAGCCATGGACTATTTGGGGATACAGAAGATTATCACAGACCACAGGTTGTGATTCTAAAACAATTATTTTTAAATCCATTGTTTCCCGATGCTATTATTCATCATTTTATGGTTCGTGTTAGACTCGGACAACAATATTGAATAGCTACTCACCACGTGACTAAGTGGTGTTACCATAGAACTCTGTGCTACCTCAGGAAACTAACTTTTTACTTGACATACTGACAGATGCCCGCACAAAGTTCGAGTACAGGCCAGTCAGTGATATCAGCATAGAGATGAAATTTATGCAAGTGATGTCAGTAAACATGGTATAGCCTATAGGATATAGTGGAGTCAGCAGACTCAGCACAGAGCTCAGTGATGTGCGGAAGAAGACTTTGCAGTATTGGTGTCTGTAAAGAGTAACTGTTGAAATTGTCAGTACCAATCATAATGGGATCACGAACTGGGCCATTAGATCTATGCCTATGGTGCATCGCTATATGGATGCCATGGTTGAGCAGCAGTTAAAGTCAGTCCAGCTGTTAAGTTTCTTCTTGTGACCAGACGAGACCACACGACGCTTGCAGACACGATCACGCTCACATAGTAAACTACTTACTTTTCGCAATCCTTCTCGCTCCACATTTACTGGCACACACGCAGACATAGACAGCAATAGCGACAACACACAAAGTGAAGGGTAGTTGGCCGCAGCCAGATGTGAACCGGGTAACGAGTGAGGTATGGAAGCAAGGACTGAAAACAGAGTGTCTCAGATAGAATAGGTGTGCCAGCTGATAGCAGAAATACATGTAGGTCATGATGCAGAACCCTTGTAACCGTCAGATTAATTTCCCTGGACTGAGGCAGCCGGGAAAAAACACTCGCGCCGACGGACACAGTCGTGAGGAAAAAACCCGGGTGTATATCCCCAATGGCCATTAGGCATCATGTAGGCATGGCAAGCACATAACGGCAAAAAGTGATAAAAAAGCAATAATATTACTTGTATGATGAACAGAAATAAAGGGTGGGAAGGCAGGGACACTGGTGAGATTCGAATCTGACTAGGGACCGACGGATTCTGCTCGAAAAGGTGGCAGATTCTGCTCGAAAAGCAGTGAAATTGGCAGAACCATACAAACCTCTGTCCCCGGGGAAAATTGCGGAAAAAAATCGCAAAAAACGCGGAAAAAACGCGGCATAATATGGCATAATTTGCGGTGAATTTGCGGTAAATATGCGGTGAATATTATTGATATCATCTCGCGGCGGCAAGTTTGCAGTTGATATGAGGCAATTTTCAGTGAGTATGTAGTGAAATCAATCAGTTACAAGTCTCTGTTGTAAGCGCTCGTCATATTTGAGTACAAAGCCGCCACCGGATGAGACGTTGCTGACCGAACAGTGCACTGTGTGTACGTGTAGTACAACAAAAAAGTTCAAAAAACGCGGGAAAATCGCGGAAAACGTGGTCTTTTAAAAAATCGCAAAAAAACGCGGAAAAAACGCGGCCGCGGAATCGCAATTTTCCCCTTTACCCACATACCAAACATGCATGAAAATTACCAGAAAAAGTACCGAATTCTGCCAATTTTTCTGCCGGCAGAATCCGCCGGACCCTTAATCTGACTGAAGAAGTCAGGAAAAGAAACGACAATAAAGAACACACCAGATGCCATATTTGCAACTGAAAATGTTTCGCGAAAAATCATTTCTCGCCTAACTCGCTGCGCTCCGCCGGCGAGAAATACAAGTTACATAATGCCTCCTTCTCTTTTCCATTAAGCGACTCTTCTACACAGAGCGTCGTAACATCAACGCACCAACACAGCAGGGACACTTCCGTTGATAGATACTTGTTACGCCTCTAGACAAAGTTTTCGCTTCTTCCAGCTCATCAGGAGATCGGATGATAATGATGATAATGGAGTGTAAAGGAATGATATACAGCAGAAATGGCACAAGTACATTTACTATTCCATCCCATTGATGCAATCATGCATGTGATTATTCTCTTACCTGACAGAGCCCGTGTCGACGCCTGAGCGACTTCAAATGTTGATGTAAATTCTATGATACAACTGTCATGTTTACATGAAATCTCTATTCGGAGTTCCAGAATGAGAAGCCATTCATGATCTGCCAATAAGAAAAGGAAGATCAATTTGCACTTCAGAAGGTTTATCTTGATTGCTGGCAGTCACAGGAAAGTTTGATTCAGTCCGTTGTATACGTCCTTCGATGTTTTAGTAGTTTGAAATCGTGTGAGATCGCTCACCAACAAGCGTCAAAGCCATTGGTATGGAGACAGCTGTTGTTGGTTTGCTGATGGTAATCGTCAGCGCAGAATTCACTGATTGAGCGGCAGCAAGACGTAGTGTAGTTCCCGGATCAGACTCCACACTTTCCAACACAGGCCCGCCTAGTACAGTGATGATTTTGTTTTTGTTTTTTTGCTTTTTATTGAAAAACCACGAACCTTCAGACATGTGAATGTGCACATGATATACAGTGTACATACTTATGTATCGAGAAGGCAGCACGGAAACGGCAGTGGTGGTTTTTGTATGCAGTTTTATTGATATCAGTGATTGTCTAGTCACGAGATTCAGGAGGTAGTGTGATTCACCGTAGCACGGTTTTCATTCATTCGTTGAATGAAAGCTTGGGAGTTATGCACAGCTTACACAGTATTACTTCGGTAGACTGGCATATTAGCCTTTCCCTGTGGAGATACCAGTCGATTTCATGATGATGGATTTTGCTCAAGCTCCACCCCAGCCACCTCATAACACAATAAACCAACATCATTACCAAGCAAGTGGTCTCTTTGCTGCAACTTCAATATTATGAACCGAATTTTTGACGACAAGCCATCATCAGGAATTTTTGCTGTACTGTATTAGCGTGTGAAGCCATTGTGAGTCGAAAACAATAACACAACGCTGGCTTCGGGTGATGCGGTTACTCATGTCTACCATTAGCAGCATGAACTAAGGCAACCGGTTCCAAAGATGCAAAATTGGACTTATGAGAATACCTTTCAAAATGAGATCGACAAAGTATGTGTGACTCTTATGGAGGTAAAGATACAGTTGGCGGTTTTGCGGTATATACACACCTTCCCACACACACGCTCTCTCTGTGCAAAGTTATACTGTGTGCTCTGTATTGGCGTGTACTTACCACCATTTTGCCAGGTGAATCTTTACCGCCATGCTGAGTCAATCGTACGTACCAGTGGAATATTTAATTCCATCCTACTATGATGTATGTGTATAATGATAGGGAATGTAGTATGCAGAGCTTCGTAGTATGCAGAGCTTGTTTGTATAGACGACCACAGCAGACTATGGTCGTCTATACAAACAAGCTCTGCATATAGCCCTGGACGGATAATGCTGAAAACAAAATGGTAGCTTCTGCTCTAAAAGCAGTAAAATTGGCAGAACAACGCCAACGTTATGGCAGGCTTTTCCTTGAATTCGGCTCAATTTCTTCAACCACATATCAAGCATGAATCATGATTGAACATACAGCCAGAAAACGAACGAAATTCTGCCAATGTTTCTGACGGCATTATCCCGTCCAAGGGTTACCTGCTTAGGTTGACATGTGATCTGCATCATCTGCTTACAGCACTTCCATCATGTACCACTGGCACCAATCCATGTATGAAAGGTGCAACCTGTCAGCAGAGAGAACCAGCAGTTCATTGTCACTGTCCACCGCTAGTCTTTGGACGACGCTGTGAGGAACGTATGTGAGCTTCGGCTGCACTAAACCTTTTCGCACTGTTTCATGTCCTGCAATTCTTTGCACATATACTTTCTGAACTTAGAAGTTGCGACTTCGGCGGTAATAGTCATGAAGTTGATTGTAATAGTCATGAAGTTGTTTGTTTGTCGCGCTGGAAACAAAGAGTCTCTGTACGTTTGTATCCCTGGTGATGGTTTGGCCTGGAGAGCAGTATATAAGTGGTGCTTTTCAGGCACAATCTTCCTCAGCCTACTCAAGCTCAACTGATGAGGGGTGAATTCCCCGAAACACCGTGTATTGAGCAGGGAGTGGTGCTTTCTTGGAGGTTTGCCCAGTGGAAGGTGCGACGTGCTCCTCGTGTGCTCCGGATGGCAGTCGTGAGTCAGTCAAGTGTCAAGTTCGGCAAGAAGCGTGTGTTCCTAGTTGGAACAATCAACTTCATGACTATTACCACCGAAGTTGCATATTCTAAGTTCGTATTGTTTTCCCTCACGCGGACGTGCGACTAGTTGTTGGAGGTGACAGCGTTGCGAATAGCTATACTGGCTCTCAACGTCTGTTTATCACAACTCCATGAGCGACCCTGACTCACGCTGCTACCTGGAGCTTCACGAGGTGTTTGTCGCGCTGGAAACAAAGCGTCTCTGTACGTTTGTATCCCTGGTGATGGTTTGGCCTGGAGAGCAGTATATAAGTGGTGCTTTTCAGGCACAATCTTCCTCAGCCTACTCAAGCTCAACTGATGAGG